GGGCTCATACAACTCTTATCATAATCCATACACACATCAATTGTGTAAAGTGCATTTGTATATTCATTGCCCTCATCATTCTCAAAACAACGCCTGTGAGGAGTGACAGTCTCAGAGGCCCACAGGGGCAGTTCTACCGTCTGGGAGGGTCACTACGTAGCCGGAATGTAATCGTAGGCAGTGAATTTGGTTTGGAAGCCGTCTAACATAGACCAGCAACCTCAATTTACAACCTCAGTTCAGAGCTCGGACATCTAGGTGTCACATTCCATACCTGTCTGAACTTGACTGATTCCAAAAGGGCAGGGTTGAGGGTCTACTACCATTTAGATCTGATGTGGACCTCACTTTCCTCTGAGCTCATCAGAGGGTGTTCTCATTTACATTTCACCCAAACTCCACCCTTCTGCAAGATCCTAGATCAACTCTACCTTTTCCAGCTTCTTGTCCAGTCACCACACGGTGTATGGTTTTCCGCAGTGTGGCGCATCAGGACACCTGGCTTTTGGCACTGTGGTGATAGTGCTCAGTTGCTCACCAAAAGGCCAACACCAGCAACTTTAGGAGCCCTGCCAGTGTAGTGGTTATACATGGCCAGCAATTCGAAACCTCCAGCAGCTCCCAGGGAGAAAGACTGGGCTTTCTACTCGTGGAAACAGTTACAGTCTCAAACCCACAGGGGATCACTGTGAGTCAGCAAGGAGAACCAGCAGTTTTGTGGGAGAAAGATGTGGAGGTCCGCTTCCACTAAGATTTATAGCCATGGGAACCTGACGGGGCAGCTCAGCTCTGACCGATGGGGCTGTCATGCGTCAGACTGCAGGCTTGGGGATGGGGCTCTTGGCTGAAGAAGCTAGGACAAACCTCTCCTTCTTGGTAGTGTGTGCCCAGTGGCAAAACAGCTAGTATGCTGGCCTCTCACCTGTTGGAAAAGGTAACTCAGAAGAGAGTATCAGGCAGTTGGTGAACACACAAAAAGCACCCAGCACAGGTGATCACCTGGGTAACACCTGGCTGACAGAGGTAAAGAAGACTTCCAGGGGGCGGTAGGGGGTGGTGGTGTGACACAACAACTAAAGAACAAGTCCAATTCTTTGTTTTACAAAATCAAATGGCACAAGAAAGAAGTCTCCTTGTTAACCTTGCTCTCCATCACACAGTTCACAACCCTATTCGATTCCAGATAATTTTTCTACCGACTCAAGCAGTTGTCTCCTCTTTTCTTTTTTAAATACATGACGTAGCATGCGATTATGCACTGTTTTGTTCCTTGCTTTGTTTTCCTTCTGAATTATGTGTCTTGGGGATCAGTATTAGTATGGTCACTTTGTGCTATGTAGAACTTACTTCTACAGTAATATAATAATTTATGTAGCCATTCAGCTTTTGACAAGACATCTAAAATTGATTTCAACGTTTTGCTATGGCCCACAGGACAGCAATGGTTAACTTTGTAGACTTCATTTTGCACAGATTCACAGATACTTCTGTAGGCTAAGTGGTACATACACAGTGTGCTTATGAATTAAAGAAGCAAAACAGCCTGGGTCAAGAGTCACCGAGAAAGATTACCAAACTGAGGGGTGGTACCAATTAGGAGTGTACATGAATGTAAGAGAGTACATTCTCTTGCCCACACACTTTCTATGAAACTTGGATTTCAGCTAATCTGATAGGTAAAAAATGCTATTTGGGTACAGTTTTTTTTTTTTTTATTATGAGTAAGACTGAGTTCTCGCATGTTCACGTACCTACTTCAATGAAGTTCAATGAAGTTTAGTTCAAGTGGCTTACCTGCTTGGACACCCTTGTTTAACATCTGTACGTGCTGCTTGCTGCAAAGGATGGGGCTAGAGTTCCAGAAACTACTAGCAGAAGACGAAACAGAGTCAGAAGAAACCATCTGTTCTTCTACCTGGAAAAACAAGATCCCCGTTACCTTGACCTGGAAACAAGAGCACGGTTACCCACAGGGTGAGGACCCTTGCAAGTCACGAGGAACCCTTACTGATGCAATTCAAATGGTGAAGATCAAGTTGTGAGGATGTTTCTGACAACATGAACATGCCCTGTACAACCTGTGAGAGAAGGCTGTTGTCGCTGGATGAAGGGCTGGGACCTTTTTATTTTTTTTAGGTCTGAGATCTTTTAAGAAGGTAAAACAAAAATGTCGGGTAAGCTTCCATGGCCTTAAAAAACGAGGATGCTAGCCAAAGATTAGGTAGGTGGTTTCTCAGAGTGCAATTCTAACGGATACTTGCATGTATTTTCCGGTAAAGTAAAGAAGGCAGATGTGGCTAACGAAATGGATATGTTGAAGAACCTGCTTCCCAGGAGCCTTCTGGAAGCACTGCAAACAGCCTTGCAATCAGGGCAGGAATCAGGGAACAGCTCAGATCCCTGGGACTGCATGGGTGCCCACCTTGGTGACCAGTGGGATGGGATCTCCCTCCTTATCTCCTCTGCCCTCCGGTTGACCAGAAGTGTGGTCACCCCATCCCTGGGTTTGGAGGCATGTACTCTGAGGTGAAAATCAGGCACCTAGCATTCGCCACCTCAGTGGCACGTGTGTAAGTGAGTTGTGCACCCACAATCTTGACACCTCTGAGGTGCACGGATTGGACCTCTAGTCAGCAGTCACTACCGTGGCCTGGGCTGCATAATCTCCCCTCCTCTGTGTGTGTGTGTGATTTGGGGGGGGGGTGGTGTGTGTGTTGAGTGCTGGGGTTGTGGGGTTGTTTTCTCTTCAATTCTTTTTTCCTTTTCTTTGGTCCAATCTGGTAGGAGGCGGCAAATGCATCTATGCAACCAAGTCCTAGCGAGGGCTTCTACCGCCATAACCCACTGGCTGAGTGCACCGTCTGTCTCTGTACCACTCATCAGTGAGAGGCAGCAGCAAATACCAGCTCAGTCTGCTTTCAGCTGCTCGAAGTGAGCCAGGAACAGAAATCTCTCATCTCCCCAGGAGACACGCTGTGGGTGCCTGAGTGCTGCCAAACCAACGAGCACAGTGATGCGCCTGCCCCACCGCCTGCCCCACTGCCTGCGTGCAGCAATTAAAATAAAGCAAAACACTGTCATCAAACAATACAATAATGCCACGTTGTCTTGAAGGCAACAGATAATGATGAGTTTATAAAAAGAAAAACGGCAAGGTGGGCAAACCAGTGACTAAAAGACAGAGCCAGAAAATGAATCACGATTATGACCAGTCAAGAGCCAGACCAGATTAAAGAGCTTGGACAAAATCAGGGAAAATGCAGACCAAACTCTAGAGGAATTCGGGAAAATACTACAAGAACTGACAAAATAAGTATTAAGTTACATATCATACAAAAACAGCCCAAAGAGGGAGGATGAGTGCTTCCGGGTTGGAGCAAGGTGACCTACGCTGCTGGGGGAACTGCAGGGACTGTGACCATAGGGGCCCAGCTGGTCCTGCGGTACCTGGGCGATGTGTCAATGGAGCCTGACCCCCTGTTGATGCCCACCTTCTGGCCGACTACGGCTTCCCTGGCGCAAGGAGAGCGAGATGGTGGCCACGCAGCAGCAGATGAACGACGCGCAGCTGATGCTGCACCAGCGGGACTATTGCCCCCACCACCTCATGCGACTGCTCAAGTCTATGTGAGCCACATGATGGAGTTTGAGCGGAAGCGGTGGCTGCTGAAGTAGAAGTAGCGATGGGAAAAGAGGGAGGCGGCCACAGCCAGAGGACAAGGGGAGGGGGAAGTGGCCTCCAAAGAGGCCCTGTAGGGACCTGTGGACCAGTCAAATAAATAAAGATCTCCAGATCTTTAAAAAAAAACACCCAAAAAAACCATCCCATAGAAACCCATTAGATTAATATTAAAATTTCAGAAATAATTTTGGGAGGATAAAGGAGTGTAACTGAATCAATGGAAGACAGAATTAGTAAAATTGAAAGCAAATCTATTACTACTAATGTATTAGAAGAATTAGAAAAATGAACAAAAACCCAAACCAACCAACCAACCAACAAGGCTTCTTAGATAACAGTAGGAAACATTAATGCATAATTCTCCAGGGACTACGCAACCAGAGACTCAACACAGTTACAGATGAGCTAAACAACATAAATGGCCAACTTGACCTTCTAGACATCTGCAGAACACTCCACCCCCCAATAGTACAATATACACATATCTGTTCCAGCATCCATGGAACAGTCTCGGGAACAGGCAGAAATCAAGGCTTCCTAAATTTAAAAACATTGAAATGCTACAAAGCATCTTTCCAGATCACATTATAAAATTCCAATTCAATAACAAATCTCCCGAGCAACGAGGCAGAGGCCCTGTTTTGTGTCCACCTGTTATATGTACACCTTTAAAATCCCTCCAACAGAGGACCTCACTTCAGCTGGGGCTTTTTGGGATGTGGGGAGAGGGAGAAAAACAACATAGTGTTTTTAGGTCACGCCCAATCAACAGACACTCCTACATGAGTGATAAGTAAGCCTTATGAGAAATTCAAGTCAGGATGTGGGGAGGGAGGACATAGAGGACCTGGGGAAACTGATGATATTCTTTTGATAGGTAAACAGGGAAGTGGAGCAACCTCCCAATGAGAAAAAGCACCAACAATACTTAACATAGAACCCAAGGGGAGACTAGCCCAGTACATGTTCCTAATTGGACACTATTGACCTAGTAGCCGTCCAGCCCTTGATGACCCAGGCTACGTGCTATAGACTGCTGGGACCTTAGACTGAGTTCTTTTGAGGCACACAGCATCCTTGAGAGGCCACACTGGAAGGACTTGATGTGGAAATCCCACTAAGTGAACTGGGCTTTACCTCAAACTCGCCTTAGTCCGTGGTCTTAAGGCTGAAACTCCTCAGTGTTTCAGAACCAGATAGAACCTATCCCGAGCTTACAGAATTGGCGATTGCTGGACTCTGGAGTGGATCTCGCGCCTTGAGGGTGCCCAGTGAATGGAGACTATCACATACTGACTACAGTACTGCTCTCCCTGCTTCACTGTGGCATGGGTAAGTCTGGCAGGCATGGTTCTGCCATTGTGAGTGAACATTATTAGAAGTTTTGCTCTATCACCAACTCCCACTGTTTGTGTGAAGTGCCCAGTCACTTCAGAGTTTAATCTGTACAAGTCAACAAATCATATATTGCGGTTCATAGCCGGCCTGCAATTGTATAATATCCTTTACTCAATAATATTTTAAATTCTACACCATCAGCTAAATTAATGATACTATCAACAGAATTACCTTATACCCCAGGATGATCAATAATGTTCTCTAACATAAAATGATAATTATGCCTCTAAGGTGAACCAGAGACACATATAAATCATAGATATACGAATGGCTTTGGGGTTCACACTTAATTCTAGCCACAATCTGAAAACAGTTCTTATTACGTGGCCCTGCTTGCCGCTTACTCTCACGAAGAGATGATGGAAGATATGGTGCGATAGCAAAGTGTGAAGAAACTAGATGTGACTGGCTATTAGAATGAATAGCATCTGGGGTCTGAAAGGCTTGTCTTTGAACAAGCAACCTTGTGAGTGAGTTGCTAACTAGGCCCACACAGAAGAAGCAACACCAGCCTGCATGATCCAAGAATTGTGAACGATAAAGTCCAAAACCGAAGGAGGGAGTGGTATCAGAACTTAAATATGGATGACAGTGGGGGTCCAAAACCCATTTGCAGGGTGACACAGGGATTAACCCTCCAGTGACTCCTCTTTGACAATGACCAGGGCTGTGGATGGCCTTGCTCTCATGCAGAGAGAAGTGCTTTTCTGTTTTGTGTTTCTGTATTATTTTGTTTCCTATGTTTTTCAGTGTAAGAACCTAGGATGGGAGAAGGAGGGGGCGGAAATGAGGAGCTGATGCCGGGGGCTCAAGTAGAAAGAAAATGTTTTGAAAAAGATGATGACAATATATGTAAAGATGTGTTTGACAAAATGGATATATGTATGGATTGTGATAAGAGCTGTAGGAGCCTCCAATAAAGTAAAAAAAAAATTTTTTTTTTAAAAAGAACTCCTGGGAGGGTAGAGAGAGGGTGGGTAGGAAAGGAGGAACCAATTACAAGGATCTACATGTAACCTCCTCCCTGGGGGACGGACAACAGAAAAGTGGGTGAAGGGAGACATTGGACAGGGAAAGACATACAAAATAATTTATAAATTATCAAGGGTTCATGAGGAAGGTGGGAGCGGGGAGGGAGGGGAAAATGAGGAGCTGATGCCAGAGGCTTAAGTGGAGAGCAAATGTTTTGAGAATGATGAGGGTAATGAATGTACAAATGCGCTTTATACGATTGATGTATGTATGGATTGTGATGAGTTGTATGAGCCCCAAATAAAATGATTAAAGAAAAAGGGACTTAGGATGGGTAGGGCTATCGAGACAGTGACTGCATTGCTGGTCTCTTTGGGGGCATGGCAGGGGGTCTGGGGGAGGTGGGAAGCTGATGAGTAGGAGAAAGAAGCAATTGTCAAATTGATTTTGGAGCTAATAACAATGAGAACAAAGATAAAGAAAATGTTCTAAAACTGTGCAGAAGACTACAACTCTTCCTGATGTGTCTGAGTTATATGTATGATATGTGAATTAAATGCCAATAAAACTGTTGGGGAAAAAAAACCCACATATAAATTTCTGTTGGGGAAAAAAGTCAATTGTGGAGATGCCCATACAACTCTTATTAATATGATTCAACTGTATTACAGATAAAACATATGCCAATAAAAAATTTAATAAAAAAATAACCAATAAAATGGGAAAAAAAGAGTCAAATACATGGAAATTTAATAATACCCTTCTTGAGAACAACTGGGTAAGAGAAGAAATTTTAAAGTTTCTTGAATAAATAATGTACATTGAGGGTATTGCAATATATGAGTTGGAACAAAATGTGTATG